TTAAGATGTCTTTAATGACCATGAAGATGCTTGCAGAAGCAATTTTCAGAATAGGGCAGGGTAAGAGAGAAAGCAAACTAAATTTCTGGGTTTAGAAGTAACTGGAAGATGACTTTCTGAAAAGCTTGGATCAAAATGGTAAGAGTAAGAAATCTACAGCTAACAGCGGAGAGAGTAGCACAAGATCAAGGGTATATTTTTGCCCATTTGTTTTTAAGATGGACATCTTGTATCACTACCACTAAAAACAAGTTTCTGCCATTAGCATAGGTCATTAATCATTATTAGTTCAGCCTGTGTTTTCTAAGTCCCTGACTGGTTCTATACATCAACCATGAGACTAGAAAGGAGGAGTCCACCTCACCCAAATGATGCCAAGTGTTTAAGAAATATTGGACTGATCTATCTTCCACTTTATCCATACACATAGGAACATATAGAGTCAGCCTACATGTTAAGAAATTTAAAAACTTAAGACTAGAAGTGGCTATGCTAATATAAATGCACCAAAGGGTTTTAAACAGTAAACAGTGAAATAATAGTCAATTAAGCTTCTAAATGCTTGGAGGGAAGGCATATATCAGTCTCTGATTTTTCTTTTTATCAGAAAATAAGACGTGTACATACTCATATTTGCAAAGAACCATTGTAAAACATTACAAAATGGTTGGCTCCATGACAAAAGCTTAGAAGTTTCATTCTTTGTTAATTGCAACAGAAAAACATAAACAGATGTCAAGGGAGGTTCTTATTAGATAAGAGGAAAATGGTCTTTGGAGTGATGTTTTTGAAAACTTTGAGGAACTCACATCAATCCTTCAATGAAAGGTNATAGCAGAAAATCTTTAGTCAGAAAGTTAGAAAGAAGATTTAAAAAGCACTACATTACGGAGGTTGAAAGAATAATTTTTAAAAGAAAAAATAATAAAAATAAAAACATAAATAAAAGGTTCTGATAGATTAAGTAGTATAAAAACAATCAACACAGTCATCCAATGAGTAAACTCAATAAAATATTGTCTCCTACAAAGTATATGTATCATTTTCTAGTACTCATTAAATACGTATAAATTAATCAAATATTTGACTATAATGAAATGTTAATAAATTTCAAAAAGTAATTATTTTGCAAATGACATCCTCTAATAATAAACCAATAAAATTAAAGAACAAGCTAAAAATGATTCTTAGACTAAGAAGAGTATCTAAACTGGAATCACAAATTATTTAGGTAGAAATAAAAAGAAGACCACTTCTTACAAAAACCTGTGCAAAACAGTTAAGGATATACCAAAAGATAAATTAATAACTTTAAATGTTTGTATTACTAAAAAAGAAAACCAAAAATATTCAATTAGGAAGCTTTTGCATTGTTTCACTAATTATAATGAGCATTTGTTATATTTTAAGTAAAGAACAGTTCATGAAAATTTTGTTAAAAAAAAGAAAAAAAGGAAGGAATAATCAGCAGTGTTAAACGTAATAATTATGACAAGGACAAAAATGTGTCCATTAAGATGTCTTTAATGACCATGAAGATGCTTGCAGAAGCAATTTTCAGAATAGGGCAGGGTAAGAGAGAAAGCAAACTAAATTTCTGGGTTTAGAAGTAACTGGAAGATGACTTTCTGAAAAGCTTGGATCAAAATGGTAAGGGTAAGAAATCTACAGCTAATGGCGGAGAGAGTAGCACAAGATCAAGGGTATATTTTTGCCCATTTGTTTTTAAGATGGGCATCTTGTATCACTACCACTAAAAACAAGTTTCTGCCATTAGCATAGGTCATTAATCATTATTAGTTCAGCCTGTGTTTTCTAAATCCCTGACTGGATCTATACATCAACCATGAGACTAGAAAGGAGGAGTCCACCTCAACCAAATGATGCCAAGTGTTTAAGAAATATTGGACTGATCTATCTTCCACTTTATCCATACA